GTACATAAACAGAAAAAATTTCCATTCACTTTTATTGCAGGGGGTATGTGACCACAAAATGTTATTTACCGATGTTTACGCTGGAGAAGCGACTAAAATTTATAGAAAATCGAAAACTTGACCTAATAGCACAACTAATAATTTGTGCTTGTATTCTACATAATATATGCAGCTACTGTGGAGATTTTTTGTAAGATATAAATGCTATAATAAAAAGACAAAACATAAATACCATACCTATTATTAGAGAATAGTTTTGTAGTCAGGTTTAAATAAAAATAATAAAAACAGTAATAATATTTATTTAAAAAATAATAATTACCAAATTAAATTAGTAATTAAAGTAATAATACTTAACAAGTAAAACAAAATTTAATTATAGATAATTGCAACATTTGAATAAAATTTTAAATTCTTCAAAAACAAATATACAATTTTTCTACATATTTTTCAGATAAATCGTTGAATCTGTCCATACGAGCTAACTTCTTGTGTCGTTTTTCACACTGACTTAGTCTCATCTTTCTTTTTTTTTTTTGTAAATGTGCTTTCGAAGTTAGGATTTATCTCCTCATTTTTGTTGTTTTCAAAAGTGCTAGGAACGGTATCATTTGTTTCACAATTTATATTTTTACTTAGCCCTTTAATGCTACTGCACGTGGCTTGGGGCGTAATCTCGGGTTTTGTAAACATAAAATTGTGAATTGCATCAAAATATTTCCAATGTTTTCGTTCATTTCCACTTGTACTATTATGTAATAAAATACTTTTATAAGTGCGCTTTAAGCTTTTCCATTTCATGTCGCACTGATTGTATGTAACGTGTTTAGAAAAATTTTCAGAGCATTTCTGTGCGATTTTTATGCAAATATTTTTCTTTCTCAAAGTCATTTTGATAATGGTCTACTTGCTTAATTAGAAATAAGACGGCAGGACGAGTCCATAACTTAGAATCTACTACAGCTTCCTCTTCATTGGTTTCATCTGAATTTATAGACTCCGTAGGATTAAGTTCAGAAGCCGTACCGGAAGTTACAATTTGAAACATATTTATTATTTCATCAGTAAGTGGTACATATATTGCATCACCATCTGAAACATTAATGTAGTTCAAATTAATTGTATTAAAGAAAACAGAAATAGATCTTACTAGTAACATCTTGTAGCAATAGTTGGTCATTTTGTATAATTAATTCTGAGGCACCCTTGACTGGAACGTGTGTATGTCTTGAAATTTCTGTGTTTTCCATTTTAACTTTAAAATAGAACCATACGTAAACGGCCAACCAACATTTAACCACAGACCAATAACATCTAATCTAACTGCTGCGTTATTTACATTAATCTTTTAACATGTATAACCACACTTTAAAAAAGCTCCATTTGTTTTACCTACCACAGGTTGAGCATACAGAACGAACTCTTACTGAATAGTCCTAGAATACTCGAACGGCAACTAGTTAACTCTTTTCACTTTATATAGTAATAGACGAACAACTAAACCTTTGGGCAAAAAAGAGTGCACGGAACAGTGAAGCCAAACGCTACATTAATTGGGGAATTGCTCACAAATTTTCAGTAGTTTTACTAGATTTAAGCCCTGCTTGAATTTTGCCATATTTCCACTCGTTGGCCGCACACCAACCAAGGTAAGACGCATGTCTTTTTCTCTAAGAAGTTTATATATATATACTAGGAGTTTATAGTTGTTTGCTTCCTTATTTTCAGGCCAAAAAGATAGTGACTTATTCCGATCCAAGTGTTCCGATCATCTGTCGAAACGATAGTCTCCGTCGTAGTCTGAGTCAGGGCGTTTTTAATGTCAGTCTTAAGGGAGAGGATTGCCGCCTCCAGATCATGGGTGGTTTCGATGACTGGGAGCGCGATGATTCCTTGCATTACTGCTCGGAAGCGCTTCCAGTCAGTGAACCTCCTCCTGAAGGTGCCTTCATATCTCTGTTTTCGCCCCAGATCCAGAAATATTGGATTGTGGGCGGAAGACCCTTCGTATTGGGTGGATATTTGGGCATTTAATGGTATAGATTTTAAGAGGGTAATGTCGGAGCGTCCTACGGGTCGTAATGTGTCGGTTCTGTCGGTCCGAGTATCGTCAAGTCGTCGTGTTTGTCTTGGTAATTCAGCATAATTCAGCAGGACGCGACCTCTTGTGGTCGTCGTCCCGCTGTGCCATATGGGGGACTTCGCGTTGAAGTCCCCGATGGCAATTGTCTGGGGCCAGGAAAGGATTTTGTCATTGTCAAGTAGAGGTAGTCTGGGTGGGTGGAACATGACACCACCGCAACGTCTCCATGCCGCAGCGATATCACCGCTATCGCCACGGCCTCTGTGTTTTGAGTTGGGAGCCGCTGCAGCGGATAGTGGTCGATGCACTTCTTTACTGTGAGTGCAACACCACCCCCGTTAGCATATTTTGAAACACAGGACGCTAGAAGCATTAGACTAAATAGTGAGCTGTCATTGGTTGTTTCGGAATTCGGATTAGTGGCGGGAGTTTTAAATGCAGTAATGAGTACATAATTCACACGTATTGCGTAACTGTCCATAGTTGTATGTAATTAGAATGTAAAGTACTTCAAGTCTAGCCAGAATTAAAAAACCACTAATATGTAAATCAATATATTGTCAAAAATACTTTAATGAGTTAACTTCAAGAGTATAAATTATTCAATTGACATTTGAGACAGTGGCAATAACTGAAATGTTAATTGTTTTTTTTGTCTTATTTAAATTTGTACCTAGGTATTTATTTTTTTTATAAATAATTTTAAAAATGTACCTACTTATGATTGTCACTTTTTTTTATTAAATTAGATTGATTAGGATTAGGAATAAGGATACATTGCTTATAAATATTGTATAAATTAAAATAGTGAATTTTTTTGTAACATTTTATTTTTTAATCCCCACGTTTAATTACTACTTATAAGAGCAACCTGGAAGAAATTTACGATATAATTATTTAGATATACACAAATTTATACTGAAATAAAAAGCAATTGGATAAATAATTAATCTAATAATTGTAATATATTATAATTAGATAAATATAATATAGAATAATAGATAAACTCCATTTCACGATAGAAAATTTATTTTGATACGGCGACATTTGGTAAAATAGTTATTTTTATATAAATTCATTTATGCTGGCAGATCCGCCATAAAAAATATCTACCTACAAAATAAAACAATGAAACTTTTAAAATGTCCAAAAAGGTAATGCAAATTCAAAATACCTCTATTCTTAAAAATAAACTCACAATGATAAATAATGTGATATTATGACATAAATAACAAATTTCATATTTCGTGATAAAAGTTTTTTAAGTAATCAACCCCGTTCTTGCTGTCGAATATCAAAATAAATTTTCTATCGTGACACAGACTGTATACAGTAACAAATACATATACTAAACATATAATAATAATTCTATTCCCATTGTATATTGTAGTCTAGGTATATTCATACATATCTTCAAAATTTCTGAGTTTTTTCGCTTGTTTATCTTATGGAAATGGGCTTGAACTCGCTGATGTTTCGGTAATCCCTTTGCTACTGTCTTCTGGTGCGCTAAAAAGCTAAATGAAAAGATGTTACTAGATTATGTACAATATTCTCAATTTTTTTAAATTTCATATATGACATTTATTTGCCTAAGAATATAGAAATAATACATAAATATACATACATAATACTTTTTTCAAATGATCTGCCTCGAAATTTCTTCTTCATTCAAATTAAAATTAGTTTGTACCATGCTTGGACAAAATATTATGTGCCATTGTCAAGACTATTTATTTTTGATGTTTTTTCTGTCTGTTCTACATACGATATGAAAAGAACAGGATTGGAATTTTGAGTTTGGCCATTGATGGTGTAATACATATATATATAGAAAAAAAAAATAAAATTAGTAATATCTAAGTAGTAATGTCCATTTGCCACTTACTTTTTATGAACTTCTTTGATATATCCATTTATTTTTTACTAATCTTGTGCTCCATGAACTGTCTTCATATTTATTTAGAACTTCTTTAGCTCAAAGTTTTTATTTATACTAATGAGCACGACCATGAAGTACAGCATTTGACTGATTTGCCAAGATATTCAATTTTATATTATGCTTCCTTTTTACTTTATTCTTCACGCCACTGAATGGTCTTCCTAATGGTATCCTAGTACTACCAAGAGTTACTCCTGGCCTTCTCCTGGATATAGCTGTAGGTTGAACTTTAATTTTCGACTGTTTTCTAATCGAAGTTTTCGTTGGAACGTTAAGTGCTGAGTATAATTGTTGGAAATTTTTGATTTTCTGTAGTTTCTTGGTAAACTTCTCTATCAAAGTACTGGGTACTTCACTGGCAAGTGCTTTAACTCTGTCTAACTCCAATGACGGCTGTGAAATGGCATCATCCTTGTTTCGCTTTTCTTCATCAGGCGAGTTGCTAAGAATTACTTCCGTATATGCTGCTTGCGGATTAACATGATCCGATTCTAACGTTTGGCTACTTGAAACTGAATTACAGGAATGAGTCGTATGAGTTAAATCCATAAACCAATCATTGCTAGGACATTCGAGACCTAACGCTAATTTTCCCAAAGATTTACGTTCCTCACAAGTAACTGCAGGAGCATTTACAACTGCTTATGTAGATAAGCCTGATGCTTGCAAAAAGCTCCATTTATGCCAGAAGGGCAACTACATAGACCTACTTCTACATCAATAGTATAGTGCACCGAGGAGTCTTTAGTGCCACTTATTTTATATAAATTATTTCCCAAATCACATAAATTGCTTGGATTTACAGATATCATTCTTGAACATAATTTTAAATAGTTATTTCGAATACTATTCCTCCTGTCATGTGCATAATCCAACAATTTAATTTTGAAATATTCTTCCCAGACAAAACAAATAAAATCTACTAAAGCCACACAATTGTATCCTTTTGTTCGGTGGATAATTGTGTCCTTTAATATTCTTATAGATGTTTCGGCATAATTGTTGGTGTTATTACCCCTAATGATAATGTTTTTACGGTGAACGTATAACCATTCTTATGATCTCGAATAAAATTTTTCAAAACGATTAATAAAATTAGGGAAATCTTGAGATGACTGTTTGAAGTTCAGTATCATCATAGTCAATTCATCTTCTGTTTCGCTATACATAACCTGTAAATGAAAGAAAAATACATATATCATCTAATGTAAGTAAAATTATATGTTCATTAAAGTACTCATATACATCTGCTGTAAATTGTTTTATAAATATAATTGTACTGTAAACTTAAACATATACCTCCTGTAGATTTACACTACCCCCAAATTAACTACAGAACTAATCTCACCTTACGAAACAAGTTCATCAAAAACTGTCGCCTCTCTAATGGAATTCCATTTTTCTTTTCACATAACCACCTCCATTCCTTTTGCAAAACATGGAAAAAACAGAGAAGTTGTCTTGATTGTGGATAAGCATTTGCCAATGCAGCTTTTTCAGCTTTACAGTTATTTGTCATAAAACATGATGGTTCCTACAATTTAATTTCCATTACCTAACATACTAAATATGAATATTTCTATTAACCACAACCAGACAAAATGATACCTGTACAATGTTACTTTATTGCAGAAATAGCCCAAACCTAATATAAGAATATATGTCCATGTAGTCATTCTATCATTATGATTTTTTAAACAATTGCTCAAATTATGGTATCAAATTATTACAATTTTTATAGAATATTCACGGAAAAATTAACTATTAACCCTTTTGATACACACGGCATGTGCAACAAAATTACTAACTAATATTAAACAAAGCCAATCATACACTTTATAAAGTAGGTACCTGATAAAAAAAACGCAAGTTTTTGTTACAGTAACACCACACACTACAAAGCCAACCACCTGTTCTACATGCTATGCCTATATAGTGAGTAACAACACCAGTTTTGGACACACATACTGGATACTTACAAATTTCTAATATATTTCTCCTTATTTTTGTATGTTGTGTTGTTTAATTTTGAGTGGTTGCTAGAAAATGTCAAAAATTAAAAATTATATATTATTTCCACAACATAAGTAATTTTTCTGTAATAATTCATCTAAACACCATTCTTATCTAATCATTTCCAGATAACACAAACATATTTTTAATTATATTTTTGCATAAATGTTACTCATTTTTTAGTAATTAAGTTTCAGAGTACCTATGTACTTGGATTGTTAAAAAAAATGTTTGCTTACCGTATTCCTCCCAAAACAATAGATTGTTTTCTTTAACAAACCATAGGCCTGCTCATAACTAGCTATAGACTGTCCATCATGTAAAAGAACAGCTATTGGAATAGCACCTGCTTTGGTAACCGTTAGCAAAATAGTAACAGTAGTTTCAGTACTGTCGCAACTGGAAGTACTATCACAAAATATAATCTCTTTAGAAGAATTCAACTGCTGTGCTCTTTGCATTATTGAAGTAACTACTGCTACTGCCCAAGGATTTGTTGCCAATACCACTTTCATTCCTGTTAAAAAATACTATTTATTACTTGATATTGTTTTACTAATAATTTTACTAAGATGATATTGTTTTAATAATTGAATTAAAAATATATATAAAATTTGACTTCTCAATGGGGAGAAGTTCAAAGAAATGAACAATGAACAATCTTATACTATTTACTAAATAATCAACATAACAGTATTAAAAACCACTACAATATGCATATAAACTCACCTCTTGTTTCATAAAACGTAAGTTTCTCTTGCAATTTTGGGATAGGTTCAAAAACTGCTCCATAATTTTTCAATGTCCATTGCCTGTGTAAATAATATACAACATTTTTCGTGGGATTAATTGAAGCATTTGCTAACTTCTCCCATGGCTTCTCATTAAACATTAACATGCTTTCATGATAGCGAAAAGCCTCAGAAGCACTCATTCCATTGTCAAAATACTGTTCAAATATTTGCTTCGTCTACAATATCAAAAAATAGATTCAATTCTAAATAAAATTCATACAATACCTATATTTATCATAAACAAAGTGACAGAAATCACACCTTACCTCATTAGACATTTTCAAATATTTTAGAGAACCACTTGTTCCTATAGTATGGTTATGTATAATATCTATCTTAATTTTTCCACAGAGTGCTGGTTTCAGTTTCAAATATTTGTCATTTCTTTTCGTAGCCGGAGTACATTTTTTTATGACTATATCTAGTTTTGCAGTACAGCCTGTGTTAAATTCGGTTTTATAAGCACTACACTTTTTATTTACAGCACTATGTTGGCACACATAGTATTTATGATAAACGACTCTGTAATACGAAAGAAATATTTAGAATATTAGTAGTAGGTATACTGTTTCGAGTACCTAAGTACTTATGTTTACATACCTTTCTGGATTTGCCAACTCCCCATTTCTTATCCACTTCGTTAATGTATGTGCTTCAAACAAGTTTAAATAACTATCAGCCTCGTTACTATCATTAATATTTATACGCAAAATAAAATATTTTTCGTTGGTTTCTTCTAATTCACACTGATAACCACTTATTCGTGTAAAACTTAAAATATCCTCGTAGTTCATAATTATTGAATAATCACAACTTAATAAATATCTAGAATAAAATAGAGCCTCACAGCGTATTTTATGTAATAAAATGGTTTTTATCAGAATGTGAATAGGAATATTCACTTGTAAAAACACTGAACACACATAAAATGTGCCAAATCGGCATAAGATTTGCAAATCGATAAGAAGTTTGGTCACATATCTAAGTTTGGTTAAGTGTTTTGATGTAAACAAACCTTACTCGTGCGGCGCCGGCGTAGAACCAACACTGTACGATTACGAATTGACCAATTAGGCATCGTTTTATAAAGCTATGCTTCTAGCGGCCTTTGTTTCAAAATATGCCCTCCGTTACGGTTTTTGTCATGTCTGTATATGTCATAGTCAGGGATGGGGATGCCTCGCTGAGATAGGTCTCCTGGACAGCCATAACGTCTATGTTTAGATGGTTCAAGATGTCCACGAATTCCATTGTTTTGGTCCGGAACCCGTCAAGGTTCCAGGACGAAATTCTCAATGAGGAGGGTTGGGAAGGCGGACGAGCTATTAGAAGTCGAATAATTTTTGCATATTCAACACCATGGTCGTCAGCTGGACGCAGAAGTCCTGAAGACGCTTTGTTGCGTCAATCAGGGCCGCCGCGCCCGGTAGGGAGGGTGTCGTGTCTGTGTGTGCGTGTGGTGAGGTGCTGTGTTGTTGTTTTTGTGTGTTTTGTGTTTTTCTAGTCATGTCAGCGTATGTGTAGTGTTTTGTGTCGTGTGTGTTTGTGTTTTTGTGTTTTTAGCTATGGGGTATTGAGGGCACCCCATATAGCTGGCGGGGTGAGGCCCGGCGCAATTTGCACACCTGGCGGGCGTGTCTTTGGCCTTTTTGCAGACGTGCGTGCTGTGGTTTTCACCACATTTTACACACTTTGGCATAGCTGTGCACCGGGACTGGCCGTGGCCGAACCGCTGGCACCGGCGGCACTGTGTGACAACCCGCTGCTTTCGCTGCAGCTCTACTCGAACCACGAGCGAGCACCAGCGAGTTGCCTTCAGAATGCCCTCCTGGTCCTGTGGGGCCCGAACTAGGACCAGGGGCTGTCAACTTGATCGTTCTCGGGTGCTGGTAAAAATATATTTTAGGGAAATTCAAGGCGTCAGCGAGGCTCGGAAACAGTGTTATTAGATTTCGAGATTCTTTGGTAGATATAATTAAACGTCGGGCGCCATCCGCGGTCGCGGAAATGTACTGGATGTCTCGTCACTGACTCCTAGCTTCCCTGTATATTTTCACAGCGTAGGAGCATGAGTTATTGGAATACTAATTAGAAAATGTAGGTAAATGGTGAAGAATTTGATATAGCACAGAGCTGTCCGGCTATAATTGGGGGGTGTTATAATTACTTGTCGTAATTAATGATACTCAGATTTTGTACTTTATTCATATCGGTTTTGTTTCGGGTACGGCGGCGGCAGACTGAAAAAGAGGCATAAAACTTGAACAGACAGCGGCAGACCCTGGCTTCAGCTGACCTGCAGAGAGAAAATAGGGCAAACTGGCCACTTACCTATTGTAGACTCTGGAGACGGCGTACATGGACCTGGGGGACGGCAAGCTGGCGGTGGCGGACTGGTTTGCTTCCGGCGATCTAACTGGCGAAGATGCGGCACGGCACAACACTTTTAGGAGATTAATTCTTAAAGGGACCGTTTAATGAAACACTGGGGAGTATTTTTAGTATAGGAAATTTCTCAACACACTTCGTAGCCTGATCGATGGTTTTAGGTAGCACCAAGAGCTCGACACACTTAATTACGCGACGAGGGGGTGACTTAGCTGATATTCGGCGTCTTTTAGCCGACCGGAGACTTGAAAGTTACTTGCTCTAGAGAAGCTGCACGTAGGCCTTAATGTGATGAAATATGGAATTTTTCGTATGCAAATGGAACACTTTGTTTTGTGATAGAAGCGTGGAATGATTGTTGGTTGAGTAGCGAGGGTTTTGGAGTGAACTGAGCCTGGTGGCACAGGTTTTTTGAAGGATTTTTTTTTGAGAGCGCGTCGCGCGTATCTAGCTAACTTGCTAAGATGGCGGCCTGTGTGTAGTGTAAAGGGGACGTCGCGGTTTCGGCGACACACGTTCGCTTTGATGGCCTACTCACTACTTACTTCCTGCGTTGCTGCGTTCACTTCGCCGTTGGGCCTGTGGGAGGCCGAGGCTCCATCTATTCATGATTTTCGGCGTTCGGTGCGCCGATTGGTTCGCTGACCGACTTTAAATACGGATCCCGCCTAATTTGAGGATTATTATTTTGGCACTCTCGGAGCGTCTTATGACAGGGCATTTCCTGTTTATTTTGTCGGCTCGCCATGCGGTGCTCTATTACGCCGGGGAACCCTTGTCGTGCGAGGTCGAGTTGGACCTCACTTGGCGAAACACCCGCAGGTATTACGCGTATGACCACCCTCAGCGTTTTTTTCTTCGCTTAGGGTGAAGGTGTGGTACTCCTCGCAGATATTCTGTGGTCTTTAGGTGTGTTTGGGTATATGGCTATACCGTCTTTAGTCAGTTTGGCTTTTATGTAGTTAATGAGTCGTGAGTATTTTTTGTACTTGTGTCCACCGTTCTTGCTTTCGCAAGATTACCACGGGGACTAGCTTGGTTTTATCTGTCTGTTTTTGTGTGTTTTGTGGGGTGTTTTGTAGGGCGCTTGTGTTTGTGGTCGTGTTTTGTTTGTTTGGTCTGATTTTTTATATCTGGGGGCTTCATCCTCGCTAGAGGATTCCGCCGTGTGTTTTTTGCGTTTCTCTGTGCGTGTGTGTTTGGGGTATGTGTGTGTGCCTGTCTGGAGTGTATTGTCTGTCATTTGTTTGTTGATGAGTTTGTCGAGTTTTTGGTGTAATTTAGTGGTGTTTTCGTCCGAAAGTTCAATTGTTTTTTGCAAATCGACGATTTGTTGTGTCATGGTTAGTATTTGTTGGTATTGTCGGATGTTTTGTTCTGTGAGTTCGTGTATTTGTTGTTTCAGCGTCTCGTTTTCTTGTTTTTGTGATAGCTGTTCGTATAAATCTGTTTTAGTGGTCATGTTTTTTGGTGAGGCGGAGACCCTTGAAGAGAGTATTTCGCTGTCTGTATCGTACATGTATATGTATATGTTCTCCTCGTGTTCGGAGTCCGACATTTTGTGCGTGCGTGCGTGCGTGCGTGCGTGCGTGCGTGGGTGCGTGGGTGCGTGGGTGCGTGGGTGCGTGTGTGCGTGTGTGTGTGTGTGTGTGTGTGTGTGTGTGTGTGTGTGTGTGTGTGTGTGTGTGTGTGTGTGTGTGTGTGTGTTTATGTATGTATTAGTCGTGTGGGGATGCCCCCTTACGGGGGCGTACGTGTCTTGGTGTAATTTGTCTGTCTGGTATATTGTTTGTCGGGGGTCGCAATTTTAAAGAAATGCATTCTAAAGTAATGCAAATAACTGATAAATAAGTAAAAGTGGGACTTAACTGGGCATAACCACGGCACAGGTACCTGGATGCCGACGGCCTCTACGCTTAAGCCGGGGATTAGGTGGGTGATTAAGAGGAAAGAAAGGGATTCTTTCCAGGTAGCCTTAATAAAGGCAGGTAGATCTTGCTCCTTGCACTGCACTTCACTTCACGGACACGTCTGCTCACCTCAGCTGCTCGCTCGGAATTGAGCAGCAGGCCTCACTTTTTGTCGTTCAGTACCACGTACATTAAGATGGTAACTATTAATTTTATGAGCAGTCTTGAGGTCATCCGTTGATGCAGATACCAATTTTTCCCACGCAATTTTTTTCCACTTTGTTGTCGCCTGATCTAAGATATGGTTTCTACATAACTTTAGCAAATGTGGGACATCAGCAAAAACAAAAATTTTTTGGTTCGTTTCTACGGGATGAGCAAAGAAACAATTTCTGTCATGCACAACATATAATTGCTTCCATAAGCCAACGTTTCCAGGTCCTATGTCGCTAGTAATTGACACCATTCGCATTGTGCAGTTGTTTAATCTGTTCTGTCAAAGTATGTTTTGTCATTGGAAAATCGAAATTATAAAAAATAGGCTGTTTCCACTGGGAAAACAAACCCCTAGTCATTACTACTTGGTAGGACTTGTGAGGGCCAAATACTCGCTGGCTTTTTTTGTCGATGCATAATTTATTCGAGATGTATATCTCGTCAAAGGATAAAACTGTAATCCTCTTCATAACCCTTAATGAACATCCTTTTACTTTCATTAATTATTTAAATTAACTAAGAATTACTGGTGTAACGTCTAAATTTAAAGCCCATTTTCTCAAAGTGCAGGTAGGGGATAGCCATTCTGCTTTAAGTACCTATATGCTTTAGGGCTGACACACCTAAGGGAAATTGCTGATGCGATATCGTCTGCACTCCATGTAAAATTTCTTGTTGGATTCGTTAATCTCTTAATTTATCTAGAAGTAAAATGCTTTTTCAATGTACTATCATTTTCATTCAGTTCAGTTGTCAAAGATTTGTTTTTTTTTCTTGTAAGAACCTTACTTTAGATCTTAGTTTCACACTTCATTTCTAATGCTTTATTTTGCTTTTCCAAATTTTTATTTTCTTCCATCAAGACAGCTGCTGATCTTGTACTTTCGCCATTTTCCTTTTGTAGTTCGTTTCTATAAAAATTAATTCAACAGTTAGTACAGGAATTTAAAAAAATCATAAGTAAAACAATTTAC